ATTATATAACATGGTAGTTGATGATGATTCACTACCACCATGATTCCTGTATCGAGAAAAACGATAATGATGATGTGTCGAATGAATTTATCCATTTTTTTTACAAATGAAAAAAAAAACAAAACCATCAACAACAACACACTAAGCTGAATTTTTTTTTCAATCTTTGTACAAATCAGTGTGTGTGTGTGTGTGTGTGTGTGTGCATCAAGAAATGGTAACCAAATGAATGCCATGAATTTTTTTTTCTCGTTGTTATATCTCTAAAGATTATTATTATCTACCTACATTCACTTTTCATTTTTTTCATTTTATTTTACTAAATGATTGGTGGTTGGTTAGTTGGTGAAGAAGAAAAAGAGGAAAAAAAAATTTTGTTACTAAACACTGCTAAATGGTCTCAAATTAGTCTGTCTTCACTTTATATTTTTTTTCCAGGTTGTTAAATAATGATAGTGATGGTGATGATGATGATGATGTAATCACATATGGTCAGCAGCAGCATCATCATCATCATCATCATCATAATCATACATCGTGTGTCACATAATCATTTATTAAACATCAACATTTTTTTCAAACACAAAAGGTGTTCTGATCAATGTTTATATATGTGTGTCTGTAAGTGTGCTTCAGGTGATTATAGAATCACACACGCATGTATATATACTTATCACACACACACACACTTAAATGAAGAAAAAGCGCGCTAGAAATGTAATAATTAACGTGTATGAACAACTACAACAACAACAGCAACAACAAAAAAATTTATATTTCGATGTTTTTGTTGTTGTTATTATTATTATTATTGGTCGGAAATTTTTATTTCATGTTTTTTTGATTGAATCAACTCTGCAATAAGAAAGATAGGAGAAAAGATTGTTTATTTCGCTTCTTTTGAAATGGATCAATACACATTGAAACACGTTTCATCACCATCATGATGATGATGATGATGATGATGAAAAGGATCTGATCACTAGTGTATTGCTTGCCTATGTTTTTCTCATTCATTTTCTTCATTCTTTATTTTTCTTTTTTTCGTTATTGTTGTTCCGATTTATGATGATTATGGGTGTTTGGTGATGGTTTTCATGATGATGTTCATGATGATAATCATAGCTTCTATTTCTATGGACACCAAAATCATCATCATCATCATTATTGATCAACAGCAGCAATCATCATCAGTTGCGTGGCAAGTTAGTAACGATAATTTTTACTTTGATTCATATAGTGAATATATGGATCTTTTTTCTTCTTTCTTTGTATCGACATGTCTATACCGACGTTGCCGCCGTCGTTGTTTTCGTCGCCATCATCATCATCATCATACCACACCAGCTTGTGTGTGATGGGACCATTTTTGATATGAGCCCCTTATCCAACGAACCAGCCAACCAGCCAACCAACCAACCAACCCATCGACCGACCAAAGCAGTCAACAAAAAAAGAACGAATAAAAGAAAATTTGAAAATGCCGAACGGCACCAAAAATTAAAAAAAAATCGTTTGATGATATTATCGCGCAAGCTAATATCAATCTAGAAGCAGAAAAAAAAGTAAATGATCACATATGTGTTCTGTGTGAATATGTATGTGTTTCGAATGGAAAAATAAATTCGAACAAAATTGCTAGTTTCATCATCATCTCGTTCTGTTTCTCTCCTTACCATCACCACACAATCAAAAAAAAAAAAAAAAAAAAACAACAACAACAACAAAAAAACACCACAATCACCAAATAGCTCTTTGGCACTTGCCGCGCTAGTCATTTTATCCTTAGAATGAATCAAAGAATCATGTACGCTAATAAATTGTTTTGAGTTTATTCACACAAAACAATGTCAAAGCATTATAAATAAATAAGTTGAAGAGAGAGAGAAAGAGAGAAAAAAAATCAGAAGCAAAGAAATACTTAATTTTTTCCATTCTTTCTTCTTCTTCTTCATTTTTTTCCTGGTGAATTAACCATGATTTCAGACAACATTATCAAACAATAACCAATTTTGTTTGTTTGGTGTTGGATCATAGCTTTTCAGTTTTTTTAATATAACAATTGACCACGAAACTAACTAATATTTTGTTCGTTTTTCATTTTTTGTTTTATTGGTTTTTCAAAATTTGTAGTTAATTTGTCTTGGATATTTTTTTTGTTGCACAGGAATTAGTTATTATAAAGATCAATGGTTTGTTTTCTTTTTTTGTTTGTTTGAATAGTAATTGAAAATTATTGACCTAAACCCAAAAGGATTTTTTTTTAATATTCGGATTGAAATGATTGAAAAGGAAGGATGTAAACTTTTCGCTTTGTTTTGTTTTGTTTTGATTTTTTTTTATTGATTTGATTGAATGTAATGTAAATAGGCAAAGAAAAAAAAAAAAACTTAAGGAGACACCACTTTGGTATAAATATGATGATGATGATGATGATGTAGTTTGGACGTGAATCAAATTCAAATTATTTGTCTTCATTCTCTTATGGAACATTCGAACATATAAATCTATCTATATCTATATACAATATAAGATTGATCGATCGATAGAAGAAACAAAAAAAAAAAAAAAGACATTATCATCAAAAACTTGCATTACTCACTGGAAAGAAAAAAATGATGATGAGAATTTTAAAAGAAAAATAGAATTTCTAGTGAACAAAAAAAAATTCCAAATGATCAAGATTCATGATGATGATTTTTTCTATTTTGAAAATTGTTAAAGTCACAAATACAAAGCAAAAACAGAACGAAAAAAAAATTCTCAAGAGATTATTATAAGAAACGATCCACTGTGAAACAGTAGAGAAAAATATGATTGCAATACTACATATATAGTGGCATGGATTAAGAATTTCGTTTTTTATTCCAAACGATTTTCTTTATAGATTATTAAACTGTACAAGAATGTTATTAATAAAAAGTGATTGACAACAAATTGCTTTGAAAATTTAACAATTTTTTTTTCTTTTTTTTTTAGTTAGTTTGATTTCCCAAAACACAAACCAATATACCGTGTATGATAATGATGATGATGATTATAATGATGATTGATCCATTTTGTTCATACAAATCGGACTATATATAATATATATACATCCAACAGTGAAGCGGAAAAGAAAAAAAAAAGAAAGAGAGAGAGAGAGAGAAAGAGAGATAGAAATCATATATACAAAAGCTATTAAAGTTCCATTTAGATTTGAATTTCGAATTTTCTTTTACTACACTGTAAGATAAAAACATTTTTGTTTGTGTGTGTGGCATTTAGTGTGATTAAATTATTATTATTATAATGGAAATGAATGAATGAATGGATGGATGTAAAAGAAATTGAAAAAATCTTTTTTTTTTTCGCAGATTTAATAACGAATATTTGAAATTCTGAAACAAAAATTTTTTCTCTTCTTCTTCTGATGATGATGATGATGATGTGTTAGTATTGTAGGTATTGATAGAAAAAAAGCCAGAAAAATTTTTTTTTCATTGGCTTTTATTTTCACCGTCACCACAAGCGGTCTTACATCATTATAATTACAATAGCTTTGGTGACCTATGACATAGAAACACATAAACACCTGCGATATCAAACAAAAAAAAAAAAAAAAAAATTCGAAATCAAACAGGTGACGATGATTTTGTTGCTAAGTTTATGATGATGACCTGGTGATCACCATCAGGTCATCATCATCATTTAAAAAATCATCGATTGCAAAATAAAGAAAACCATCAATAGCAAACAATATTATTCGGCCAATTCAAAAAAAAAAAGAATCAATACACGATTGGCAATGATGAATTAGAGTTGATGAGAAAGAAAGAAAAAAAAATCAAAATGTTCAATCGATCGATTAATATCTGATCAAATTCACATTTCTTGTGAAGTTTTCTTTTTTTTTCCTTATATTCGATGATCGATATATTACAACATCAAAATATTCGATTGATTGATCCAATGATCGATTGATTGATTAGATTGAATGATCAAAGCAAAAGAGAAAGAGAAAAACATTTTCATTGCCTAAAGATGAGATCAGATGAAAAAAAAAATGATTTATGCTGTTGATTTGTCGGTTTGTTTTTTTTTCTCTCTGGCAATTCATAGATGAAACATAGGTAAATTATTGAAAAACAACAACAACAACAACAACAGCGAATATAATTATTTAACAAAAAAAAAAAAAAAATTCAGCTAGAAATATGAAATATCTAAGCAATCAATATTTAATCAATCTCCTGAGAAGCAAGAGAAAAATTTTTTTTTTTTTTTGTTGTAAGCATAACAACAACAATTCGTATGTTTACCCAAGGAAATCAAATTGGTTCATCATCATCATCATCATCATCATCATTGTGTGTGTGTGTGTATGTGTTTATGTTGATTCAATTCGTTGTGTATTCGTCGTATATATCACAAATATTTTGTTTCATCTATAGCTTGTATATATATATGTGTGTGTGTATGTGTATATGGGCTCTTGACAATTGATGATTAAAACATACACATTCATTTTTTTTTCAGTGTAAATATATCATAAACCAACAGCAACAACAACAACAAAAAAGAAGAAATGGAAAAGTTGGTTCACTAAAAAAAAAAATATATAGATCATTTTGTAGTAAAAGAAAAGAATAGGAACGAAAAAAAAATTGGAACTAATTGTTTTGATGATGGATGGATGGATGGATGGATGGATGAATGAATGAATGAATGAATGGATGTTTGTAAATGTTACATGAACATATGTAGCTATATGATGATTCAAAAACGACAGATTGGATCAAACATGAACAACATTTTTGTTTTCCCTAGATAAGGTACATAATATTTGTTTAGCATATGATGACGATGGTTTTAAGAGCAATTATAGATTAATTCATAATAGATTCGCCCATATGTGATGGTGATGATGATAAGTGTTTCACATAATACCCATGATGAATTACAAACTTCCCTTACGTGTGTTCTTTTTTTTCCTCTCAAAATCAAACCCTCTTTCCATATATATAAAAAATGTAATATATTTGATCATTTCATTGTCGAATATGTTTTGCTCTATTTCAACATTGTAGCAATTTGATTGCTATAATGATTAACAGTTAAACAGTTATTAGCAAATTGGGATCATGGATAAAAAGGTCATCGAAAAAGAATTTTGTTGACCTTTTGTTGTTTTTTTTTCTTCTCTTGAACGATGCCGATATTTGAAACAAATGTGTCATGAATGTCATCATGTGTATTGAATGTTATTTATGTTCGGTAATTAAACTTCAAAAAATGTGAAAAAATGATTTATGTACACATGCACTATTACCATCTATTGGTGGTGAAACAAAAAAAAAATTATACAGAAATTTCTTCCATCATCCTCGATGATGAACGATATGAATAGCCAAAATCAACATTTTTACATTGACTATACCAATGAATGATAATTGGAAATAGGAATAAAATTACATAATAAGTGACCAAAGGTATAGAATTCGTAGATGGAAATGGATAAAGATTAAGACCATGTCGTAAACCATCACGAATATGATGAGCAATCGTAGCATTAAATAAAAGCCAACCAAAACGATTAAAATATGATATTGTATGTTGATCGATATCATCATCTTTATTAACAGGTAAATAAATGAACAATATTGCCATAGTGATTAATGCTGTAGTATTGTGTAAAAATGGTCGTCCAGTCAATTTATGAATCTCCTGATTAATGAAAAAGAGATGAAAAATATCATTATTTATAATTATATATAAAATTAAAAAATCATCATTCTTACTTGTATGGAAAAAGATTTTGCTACAATTATATGATCAAAATCGATTGATATTGAAATTATCATCGTAATCAGAATATCATGAACAATCAATGTTGTATCACAGAAATATAATGGATTATTATTTGTACGAATTTTTAGCATTGTTAACATTAACCATGTGAAGAATGCATGTATACCATGTATCAATGTATCGGTTATTGCCACCAAATACATAAACAATGTATTTGGTCGTGGTAATTTAAGAATAAAATCACCTAATAATGAAAATAAAATGATTAATAAATAAAAACATATATAGTATAGTAGTTTAATTAAAGCCATAAAAACATTTGTAGATAATTTGTGGTTGCAAAATATATAATTTTTCAATTTATCAAAACAACAACTGTGAGATGACAGCAATATTGATGCCAAAACAAAAAAAAAAAATAACCAACTGCCATCTATTGTCGACATTATTAACTGTGGAATCAAAAAAAAAAATGAAAAAATCATCAAATCTGCTCACATATGTGAACATTTCATCGTCCATGTCATTTATAGATAATTTTTATTTTTCATTCGTTTGTGAAAAATTGTTGCAAAAGGATTTTGGTTGAAAATTTTTTTCTAGAGAGAGAGAGAGAGAGAGAGAGAGAGAGATAATCAATAATCAAGCATAGAAATAAAAAAAAAAAAAAAAAAAAATGAAATGAAATCAATCTAATGATCGATCAAATAATATTGCCTAATAAATTATGAAATCATATTTTAACATTGGCTGATGATTATATTGATTTGGTGATATTGATTAAAATCCAACAAAAAAAATCGACTTAGGTAGTTGTAATGGATTTATTTCATTTCATTTTTTTTGTCACTGTTAATATTGATCACATATAAATATGGATCTTGTTTAGCTAAATTTCATTTTTTTTTAGGTCAAATCTGTTGTAGAAAACAAACAAAAAAAAGTATTTAAGATTTTCAATCAATAAATCAATCAATTTGATCATGAAAAATTTTCTTTCATTATACTTTCAATTAAACGGAAATGACCATTAAAAAAAAGCTTATGATTTCTCTGAAAATAAAAACACATGATGCTCAAAACAAAATTGATGTATGATAATATTTATGATGATGATGATGATGATGATGATGATGATTGGCCATTTAAGTTGATCGATATTATTGATCAAAATTGATGGTTGACATTGATATTGATCATCGTCATCATGATCAATTCATGAGGATATTCTAATTTTTTTTTTGTTGTTGTTGTCGTTGTTGTCTCAAATTTCATGTTTGTCAATCAATTTTGTGTTTGTCACAAATTCATTCACGCCATATTTTTTTTTTTTTGTATATTCATCAACAATTGATAATTAATAATGGGATTTTTTCGTTCTCTTTCTCTCTCTCAGTCGCTCTCTCTCTCTATTTATTAAATTTTGTCCTTCATATCATTGATGAATTAATGTCCACGTGAAAATCATCATCATGGCGTGTTATATGAACGGATGTGAATTGTATATGGTCCAAAATCCAAACTTTACCAAATGAAAAAATAATAATAATCTCAATGTCTCGATAGAAATTTAATTTTTTTTTTTTTAGTTAAAACAAATCATTCCAATGCCGTATGGATTTATTCCATGAAATGTTGAAAAGAAAAAAAAATTGTCATCATTATTATGTCAGATGATACAATAATGGATGACAATTTATTTTTCACTCTTTATTTTAGCAAAAAAAAATGATGATGATGAAAGTTGAAGATTATCATCATCAATGTTGTAAATAACCAAACCAAGAAAAAAAAACAACCATACAAACCAGCCAGCCAACCAACGAATAAACAACATTCAATTTTTCAAGTTCAAATATTTTTGTTTTCCATTTGGCCCATCATCCATCCATTCAAAAAAAAAGAGACATGGATCAAAATCTATCAAATAATAAAGATTTCAACTAGAAAACAAAAATTAAATAAATATAGAGCTTTTTTTATTATAACATTATTGATGTATATATGTGATGCGGAATGCAATGAATTGGACTTGCCATTTAGTATTATGTTGTGTGTGTGTGTGTGTGTGTGTGTGTGTTGAAAATCTCATGATGTTCATGATCCACACACACACACACACACACACTTTTTGTAACTTTGATCAGTACATTCTAACTGTATATCACTTTATCCAATGTTTATTTGTATGTGTGTGTGTGTGTGTGTATTGATCATTTGAAGCAATCATCAATTGGATGGTGGTAGTAGGTTGTGTTTAGTAGGTTGTCGTCGTCACCATCGTCCAGGACAAGATTATTATTCAATGTTGAATAGTATTGGACGAATTGGATATAGTTATTTTATATATATATACATATAGTGAATGTGCAAAAAAAATCCAGAAGAAAAAAAGAAAAAAAAAAAAACATATAAAAAGGCCTCATTCGTACATCATTTGAATCATTTAATGGTAAATGACAAACAACCACATAATAAAATAGCAGCAACCACAATCATTATTATCACATTTATTTTGTCCATTATCAATGTTTAAATAATTTTCACAAATCAAATTAAAAGATTTCAAAATCGGAATTGTTTTTTTTTGTTTTTAATTCTTTATCCAAAACTTTTTTTCATTTTTATTTTCTCTGGAACAAACGTGTTCGTTTAATGTTTGGTGTTTTTTGGTATAAAACCAACAAGTTTTTCATTCATAAGCAATTCTACTCATTTTTCATTTTGGGTAAGTTTGAAATTTTTTTTTCTTTGATTCAAAATTTAAATTTTTAATATCAAATTTAAAAAGAATTTTCAAGAAAACAACACAAAACAATCTGTTTTTTAAATCATCATTAGCCGTAGAGTCATTTTTTTTCTATGCTAATGTATGATGTAGATATAGAGGAAACATACCTCAAGAATTTTATCGATGCATTCAATCATCAATGTGTGTCATTATTAAATATTCATTCAATTGTGTATACAATCTAGAATAAGAAAGAAAAGTGGTGAAAATTTTGTTCATCAGTTTTTCTCTCTCTCTTTTTACAATTTTCATAATGTTCAAGGGTCATTATTAATGGCCATTTTTTCCGATATTTATTTATTTTGAAGAATGAGACAAACAAACAAAAAAAATCGCTGCATACAGCATACAGCTATTTGATACATTGATAAAATTTCTCAACAACTACATTGAATTTATATGAGTTTTTTTTGGCCACATTGATGAAATCAATCAAATTTTAGAGGAATATAATTGGTATTTTTCTATTTCATCCACTGAAAAAAAAACGAAACAAGGAATCGAATAATCATTTTGATGATAGATATATTTAAGTAGACTTTAGAAAGACATGATAAACTAACCAGATCACGTCAATCATCATAATCATTTCATTCATCAACAACAAAATCATTAAATTGCCAACATTTTCAAACATCATCATCGATGAAAATATATTGAAAATAGAAGAAAAACAAAAAATATATAGACGTGATAGATACCTTTGTTTCATTGATCAATGTTCGTGAACTTGTGTACTAGCCAAAATAAAAACATCATCATCATTATCATCAACATAATAAATATATTGATAAAAATTGATTGATTAAATAGCTATCATTATCATAGAAATATAATATTAGCTTATTATTTGGTGGATCCCCATATATATATGAATAATTATGTATTTTATGGCTTAATATATGAACATTATTATTATTATTATTATGTTTATGATTTTTATGACTGATCCATCAGATTATTGCTGTCAATGAAAAAGTAAAAAAAAATACGAGAGAGAGAGAGAAGAGAAAGTTTCTATTTATAGATTTTGAAAACAAGAATATTAATGTAAATAAATAATAATGATGATAATTACAAGAATGAATCAAGAAACAAAACAAACAAACCATAAAAAAAATACGTTTAAAGATGAAATTATAATTCAAATTTATTATCATCATCATTATGATGACAATATAAAAAAAATGATGATATTGGAAATGTTCATTCATACAAATACCACAGACACACACACACACACACACAAACAATTACACAATTTAGATCAATGGTTTTTTTCCTTTTCATATCCATGTATATATTATTGCATAGTGAAATCGATAATTTTAATTTTTTTTTTTTTGAATTTTCCTTTTCTTTATTCATTCATTTTGATTGATGAATGAATAGCATTATGTTACCAGATAATGAATACATTGTTAATAATAACAATCATCATTATGAATCAACAACAATAATTAATGATAAAAAAATAACTAATGGCAATGGAATAATTGTTGCCGATAAAAATCATCAAGATCATCAACATCATCATAATTATCAAAATGGACAACGTAAAAATCATGTACGTGTTGCCGTTGTAGGAGGTGGCCTGGTACGTTGAATTAATTAAAATTAATAATTTTAGAAATATTAATAGTAATATAATAATAATAATAATTATTATCGATCGCATATACACATACACATTCAAACACACATGTTTTTTGAACATAGGTTGGATCAATGATTTCATGTTTTCTAGCAAGACGCGGTTATCAGGTGAGTTGTTTGTTTCATCGTATTTTTTTTTCCTGATGATTGTAATATTTTATAATATAATCATCATTGATTGAATAATCTATAGGTAGATCTGTATGAGATGCGTAATGATCCACGTAAATCTGAACATGTGGTTGGAAAATCAATAAATTTGGCTCTCTCAGAAAGAGGTAGAAGTGCATTACGTTCATTAGGTTTAGAGAAAGAGATAATGGAAAAATATTCAATCAAAATGTATTCACGTATGATACATGATTTAAATGGCCAAAAAAGAATCATACCATACGGTACTAGACCAGATCAATATATATTATCGGTTAGTCGAAGATTTTTGAATGAATTATTATTAAGTAAAGCGGAAAAATATGAAAATGTACATATACATTTTGAACATAAATTATTACAAGCAAATCTCAAACAAGGACATCTGACATTTCAAGCAATGATTGACAATAATAATAATAATGTTGACAACGATAATGCTTTCAATGACAAACAAGGAAAACAACAACAATCACCTCATCAACATTCAAAACAGGTAGAAAGCAATTCGGACATTATATTGGGGTGTGATGGTGCCTATTCGGCTGTCAGACGTCATATGATTAAATTGTTATTGTTGGATTATAGCCAAAAATATATTGAACATGGTTACCTCGAATTGTGTATACCACCCACTAAATCAGGTGACTATGCAATGGAACCGAATCATCTGCACATTTGGCCTAGAGGCGAATTCATGATGATCGCCTTACCAAATCTTGATCGATCATTCACCGTAACATTGTTCATGCAATTCAAAATATTTGAACGGCTCACCGATGAAACAAAATTGTTGAATTTTTTTGAAAAATATTTTTCTGATTCAATTCCATTGCTAACCAAGTAAGCAACCGTATTGAAAAGACATTTCATTGATTATCTGTAATAATTGTTTGTTTGGTTTTATTGTTTCTTTCTTTCTTTAATTTTTTTTTTTGATTATTCATCATCAGAGATGGTTTAATTCAAACATTTTTTAGCACAAAGCCATCACCATTAATATCGATCAAATGTAAACCATATAATTATGAAGACAAAGTTTTATTGATGGGTGATGCAGCACATGCTATGGTACCATTCTATGGTCAAGGAATGAATTGTGGCTTTGAAGATTGTATTGAACTTGATGAGCTAATTGAACAACATGGAAATGATAAACTGGATTCAGTGTTGGATATTTTCACTGAAAAAAGAGTTGATAATTGTCATGCTATTATTGATTTAGCAATGTACAATTATGTTGAAATGCGTGATTTAGTTAACAAACGATCATTTCTTATACGTAAAACATTTGATAATATGATGCATCGTTTATTTCCAAAGATTTGGACACCCTTATATTCAATGGTAACATTTTCACGTACACCATATCATCGTTGTATTGAGGATAAACGTTGGCAAGATGCAATGATTGATCGAATTTTGAAATTTTTTTTCATAATATTCGGCTTATTAATGTTTTTGATTGCAGCAAAATTATTTGACAGTAATCCAACATTGAAAACAAAACCAAATTGATATAAATATAAATATGGCTATTAATAATGATATAATAACTGATATTTTTTCAAAAAAAAAACTTTATTTTCTTTATATTGACCACAAAAAAAATAATTTCAATCAACATCAACGATTTGTTTTTTTGTTCGAAAAAAATATTTTCAACTCATATCTTTTTTTTTACTGAATAAAATTTGCATCAAAAAAATATATTCTATCTATATTGATGTTACACGTAAACAGACACTGTTCATACTTGAACGTGGTAAAGTTGTTGTTGTTGTTGTTGACGGTGATTCAGTAACAAATAAATTATTTATACTGTTACTGTTGTTATTATTATTGTTGTTGTTGTTATTATTATTATTGAATTTTTTCAATGTTAACGATGTGTTTCCATTATTTGATGATAATTTTTGTTTAAGGATCCATTTTCTAAATGAATCAAATGATGATAAACAATTTGATGATCCGGTTACTGATTTTGTACAGCCAAATATGATAAGTGAACTCTATGGGGGGTGGAAACAATATAGATATAGATATAGATAGATATTTTATAATGATAATTTTTTATACTAACCATATGGAATAATGTAGAAAAGATAAAACTTGAAAATGATATAACCATCAGGAATGTACCGATTTGTATGTATGCTAAAACATTGGATAAAAGCATAATTGCTCCTGCAATGAATGTTGTAATTGATCCCATTGCAACCGGACTGCCAATTCTTGCAATAGTCATTTGAATTCCAAGCAATCGATTATCCTATTAAGAAAATTTAAATTTAAATTAGGCTACAAAACAGAATAAAGAGGATTACCTGAAATTTGGTAAGCATCTTGTAGGCAATCGTATAGTGGAGGGTAGCATCGATGGATAGACCAATTGTTAATGAAATGACAATACTTTCGATTATATTCAATTTCCATCCAAGTAAAACTAAAGTGGCTATCGATGAAAATATTATAAATGTAATTGTTATGATCGAAATAATACTGAGACGTAAATGCATTGTGGTGAACACTAATGTGATGAATGCAAACAATACGGATATAAATAATGATTTAATCACACCAGTGGACAATGAATGTTGTAGGGCATAGAATTCCATATTGTTTGTGATGAACCAACCGTTTTTAAGTTCATTTGGTGCCAAATCCAATCGTTCTTGTACCCAGGAATTTAATTCTTGCCAAACACGATCAATGGTTTCAAATGATGTGGAGAATCCATCATAAATGGAATCATATTCAATTACCAATGCTCGAAATGAACCGTTTTTGCTATCGAAACGTGGTCCAGCTTGATGTGTGTTGAATATAAAATTCGGTGTACGATGTAAACGATCAATCAATTCAGCTGAACAATAATTAAATACATAAGGTTCATAAGGAAATTTTGTTAATTCACAACATGGAAAATGATCCAGAACATCATTGCCGACAATTTCCGAACATTTTCGTTTTGACATCCATGATTGTAAGGTTTCAATGAAACAATTGGTTAGCAAAGGACCAAGTGTCGGTTTGTAAAACGGTTGTGATCGTAATTCACGACAAAATTCCAAAAGCCAAACTTGAGAACGTTGTGAAGAAATATTGAAATCGTTATCGAATCGTAATTTTCCTCGATCAAAAGGATCCAAAAAGTTTCCATTATCTTCAGGCAGAATACCAAACACTACTCGTATTGGTAATACAAAATCGGATTGTGTTAATCCTGTTTGTTGTTTCTGATTATCCAAATCATCAGATGAAACAACATCACTAGTTTTGGCTTTAGTATCAATACGAGAAAACCAAAACATGTTACGATATACAAAATTATAACGTTCAAACAAATGATTAGAATAGAAAATCTGAAATTCTTGGCTAGTCGGAAGTTGTAATCCTGGTTCATAAAGCACGACAATGGCCGATAAAATTGAGATCAAAGTGAGTATAAACGTCAAAAAATAATAATAATTGAAGATAAGTTTCAAGATGATTTTATCAAATATAAATTTAAAACAATCAGGCCAATGAACTTTAGCAATCAATTTACATGGAAAATATTTGCCAATCATTATTTGTTGAATTTCAATGATATGATCGGAAATGACAATGGCCGATGGAAAAACGATGGCTGTGATGAAAAAATTCGTAATTATCGCTAATCCAGAAAAAATACTGCCAAAAAAAAAAAAAATCAAATGATGAATAAGTTTAAAATGAAATTGAATAAAACAAAAAATTTCTGTTCTGATCAAACCTGAAACATTTCAATGAAGTAATATCGGAAAAATAACCAGCAAAAAATGCACCACATGTAGTAAAACTTGCACAAAACGATGACATTAATACATGATTCAATGTTTGACTTAATTCGGCCTCGTAATTTGGTGTCTGACGGCGAGTTACTAACCAATTTGAACCACGACTATTACGATGATGTGATGCACATGACCATGTTTTACAATAGATCAAAGCATTATCAGATCCAATTGCTATATTATGAAAAAAAGAAAAAGAATTTTCCATCAAGTCATCAGTCAAAATTTAAATACTTACCGACAAGAATGATCAATGACAATAGATTTAGAAATGGAAAGAAATTAATATCCAATACAAATGTATAAATAAAATAAGCACTGGAAAGTGATGCTAAATTAGTGAACAATGTCATCACAGTTAACAATGTGGAACGAGTGAATATTAATAATGAAATCAAAATGATTAGGCCAGCCAACGAAGGTAATAATAAATCCGATATGAGTGATTTATTGAATAATGTATATTTTAATCCCAAATCGGCAGCAACAACACCGACATTACCAAATGATAAATGACTTGATGTTGACGATGATGATGATGGTCGAAACAATTGAATTAGATTCAATGTCGAAAATGGATCATTATTTTTCATCGTTGAATGAGAAAATGTTTTTAAACTTTTGTTATGTTCTCGTAATAGGCCATTAATTTACTGCTTTTTGCAATAGGCAATATAATACTTGTTGATGTTAATAATGGTAATTGCGTTACGGAATAATTCATTGTAGTTTCAATCAATTTATTGTGATTTAAAATTTTTTTATCCATATTCATAAAACGATAATCAACGAGATAATGAAATACGTTGAACACAAGATTTTCATATTGAAAACATTCCGATGGTGTATTTGGACATGGTTCATCATTTGAACAGTCATCATTTAGATAATGTCCAGCATAGAATGGTGAACAAACATCCAAATATTTGACAAATTTTTCCACATCTTCGTCGATAAGATCATCACAATTAGTTTTGTTAACATAGATCATAAGAAAATTCACTATCGACCAACTTGGACAACATTTATCAAAGTTTTTTGATTCACAATATTCACCGAATATTGTGGAATTATTGAATGAAAAATTCTGATCATTGTCATTGTCCATACGTAAAATACGTTGATCAAGTAGGCACAAATTTTTAATTGATTTTAGATCCAAAAGATTACTTCCGTCATTAGTTTCGACAACAATCTGGACATAATCTCCAACAATTTTGCCACATAAAAAGGAATTTGAATAATGATTTTTTGATTCAAACGGATTCGGTAAATTTGTTTGATTGCTTTTTTTGGATTTATTTTTTCGCTTTACTTTATTGCGATTTTGTTTTTTTGATTTTATTCGTCCAGTGGCATTTGCTCGTCGGATGTATATAGATTCTTTTACGAAATCATTGCCAGTGTTGTTGGATATCAATGATTTTGGATATAAACTTAATGCACCATTCCATGATGTACTTTCGATTAATAAACGCCATGTATTGATACGATTAGATAGATCAGTATTGCGAGCTTCAAAACCAATGGTAGGATCATCAAACACTGGTAATGAATCACGATATACAATGAAAGCGAATAGGCTGAAACAAATGGATAAAATTGTAACTATACCAATCACCGGACATGTACGAACCAAACGAAAATATCTAGGAAACAAATATCGAAATTTTTTTTTACCGTAAATTAAAAGAAACCAATTAAATAAACACATACAGCATTTTATCCAATTTGACAGTCATTTTTGGAAATATTTATGGTATATCGATCGATCGAATCAGATCATTTCTTTGGAATGTCAAATAATCACATATTGTCGAGTCAATAAGATCGAAAGCCGGTATACATACGTTTGACACATACACTTAAACTCTGCAGATAAACTTACAAACAAAGACAAGGTAAACATTCTTGCTCAAGATCGGCTACATTGTTGCGCTATCACATTTGTTGGTCATGGCTAAAATATAACATAAATAAAGGAAAAAAAAATATGTGATAACCATTGTTACAACGGCTATAACACACACACACACACAACCACCACCACCATCGATCCGATAGTAATCGTCGTAGCATAGCCACACAGACACACACACACACGTACATACATAAACAGCGCTACTATTGACCAAAGAAAACCAGAATTGAGCGTTGTGTTATCCATTATTTATTCTCAGGTACCATTTATATGCTGGCGGCCACAATTTGAACAATTTTTTTTTTGCCATGTTGAATGATAAAATTCAACAAGTTGTCATACTCTGGCCAAACTCACATAATAATAATAATAATATAAAAAATGGCCACATGCAAATGAATAAAGAAGAAAAAAATTGATTTTGTCACTTTGTTTCATAATATCAATCAATATAATCAATATTATTATTATCGAATTTTTTTTTCATATATATAGGAAAATATAACATTGAAACGATTATGATAAATTGAGAAATAGAGAACAAGAGAGAGAGAGAGAGAGAGAGAGAGAGAGAGAGACAAAGAAAATAACTGTCGGGAAGTGGGACGTGAATTATATTTTGTTTATTTATTAAATGAATTTGTAAATGATAATTTATAGATTTTTTTGAATAATAATAATAATAATTTATCAATAATGTTTGTGTGTGTGTGTGTGTGTGTGTTTGTATTTTTCTGAAAACAAAAATGATTTATATCAACGAAACAAACAAACAAAAAAATTTTTCATCTCATAAAAATATCAAGCCACAATGGAATAAGAATTATTATTATCATCATCATCATAATTTGAATTAATTATGATCAACGATGATGATGATGATGATGATGGAAACAACAAAATTTACGAAAACAGAAATGATAAAGGAAAAAAAATTTCATCAATCAAAGCATAAATTAGATCACTGACACAATAATTGACATGGATATTTTTGTAGAGAAAACATAAGCACAAATTCAAAGTGAGAAAAAAACAACATTGGATTCCAGTTTTATAACAGCAGAGTAAAGAATGAAACATTTATATAGAGAGAGAATGTGGAAAAGAAAATTGAATTATGAAAACAATTTTTTCTGTTAGTGTAGCAGTATATCGATGTGTGTGTGTGTGTGTGTGAGTGTGTGTTTTATCGATAAAAAATACATTCAATTTAATGGAATATATAATCTATATATAGTGATATAATAATGAATAAACACCTGGCTATTCTCAATCAAAAAAAATGATAATGACTATGAAGTGTCTAGACTCTAGACAATGAACAAAAAAAAATATTCAATCAATAAAGAATTGGTGATTTTTAAAATCATCATGACAACAACAATAATAATGATATATAATGAAGATGATGACAATAATGATAATAATAGTGATGATTCAGATTTCTTTTTTGTATGTTTTTTCAATGTGTTACTTATGATACATAAATTTTTTTAAAATTCAAGAAAAAAAAATAAGAGAATCGTTATATGAATAATAAGGAAAAAATATTCTGAATCAAACAACAAAACAACAATAATAATGAATAGCATCACGAATCAGGCAAAAGTAAAGAAAAAGAAAAAAAAGAAAATTCTATAAGAATTCCAAAAAAAAAACAATTCATGATGACTAGAATATAAATGAAAAAGATAAAGATAGGTATAAAGCACTTGACGTAAAATCTAAGGTTTTTTTTTTGGTTTAAAATTAAATTTGGTTCTTTATAATTTTCAATTTATCAATGATTTGAATCAATATGGGCGTGATGGTGGTGGTGGTGGATGATGCATTGATGACTGTGGTGGTATCATTGTTCCTTGTGGTGGTTGCATTGGTGGTGGTGGCGGTGGTATCGGATGTTGTTGTTGATGATGTGGCGGTCCTGCCATTGGTACACCACCAATTATATTTGAATGAGGATGTGTAACTGTTTGAAGCGGTAACGGTGGTCCAGTAGAAATCGGAAGCACAGAAGGTGGTGGTAGTGGCGGTGGAACACGATTTCCATATTGATCAAAGACCGTTGGATAGTTTTCATCCACTGGATGATTGTGTTGAAGAATCACTTGTGGTTGTGATGATGATAATGGCGGTGGTTTCGTATTTTGATGAATATTCATCGATTGTGGCTGACCATAACCAGTGTTTGGATAACAAGAAGGATGTGAAGTTGATGGTAGCGACGGACCAGGTGGTGGACCATAACCACTATCAGGTGGTGGTAGTGGTGGTCCATAACCATAACTCTGTGGTCCATAATAACCAGGATGAGGACCTGGGGCCATATTACTATTACTACTATTATTATAATGGCCATATTGATCTTGTAATAGATTAATATCAGTACGGATGACGACCTCGATTTCATCGCCAATTTGATTGGCAATAATACGTGATACTTCATCATGTGAAATACCAGTCAATGGTATTCCATTCCATTCGATTACTTGCATTCCTGTATAATTCAAAATGTAGAATAATCATTTGATAAAAATTAAAAGAAAAAAAATAAGAATTACCTTCACGTATCTCTCCATTCATTGATAGATTTGGATGAATTTTCACAATATAAGCTCCAATCATATTAGTACCGGGTATATCTCTTCCACCGATTACTTTTAATCCAAGACCATCGCCTAATGTTAATTGTTTTGTTTTCATTTTGATCAAAGAATTTGTTTTTTTTTTTTGTAAAAACCACGAACATAGAAAAACAAATCAATCGACAATAAAAACACAAATGATTCATTTTTGGTTTACATGTTGTTTGGTTTTGAATTCATATTCATCATCATTATATATTATTATATAATTGGATATCGCCATATTGAAAGTTGTCGTTAAATGTTTTTTTTTCAATTCATTTTTATTCGATTTTTTTTTGTTTTGATTGGTGGAGAGAAGAGAACGAATCATGAGAATCAAATAAGTTTGTTTGAATTTGTTCGAGTATCTATTTTTTGTTTTTTTTTTTTTTTTTTTTTGGTTTTGTATTGTAAATTCTGTTTATTTATTTATTTTTTTTCATTCTAATAATTGAGGACTGTGAAAGGATTGGATAATTGGATAAATCAACAGAACAGACAACAAACAGATAGATAGATAGATAGATAGACAGACAGACAGACAGACAGACAGAGAGAGATTGAAATAATAATGATAAATTATAAAGAATAAGAAACATTCTAGTTTTTTTTCGTTGTTCAAAAAGCAACTCTCTCAAACAAACAAACAAACAAAAATAGCTATGGAAATTTTTTTTTTTAGAAAGAAAAAGCTAAAATCAAAGTCTAAACTACTTATTAATTCATTTGATATGAATATGAATATTTAAAGATGAAACTGAAACTAAACTCTAGAGTCTAGACTAAATGAATCAAATTCAAAACAATCAAAACAATCAAAAACAAAAACATGCAAGTAAAAGGTTTTTTTTGTGGTTATATAACACTTATATTGACACAAATATATTGGGTTATTTATATTAATAAATAATTTTTTTTTTATTATAAAAAAAAATAAATGACAAAATCATAATTTTTACTCACCATCCATTGAACGTATTTTTGGATCTTGTGTCAACAATATTCGTTTGATCGGAAATGGATATTTTGGATTACGTGTGGAATTTGGCGCGAACTAATTTCAATAATAATAATATAATATCAGAGATAGAAGAGAAGAATAGAGTAAAACAAGATAGATCACAGAAACGATAATATTAATCGATTTGGCCCATATGATTTAATGAATATCACCGGAATACTTGAGTTTTTTTTGGCGAACTTCGCATATAATTATACGATTCATTAACATGTGTATTATCATATCCAGTATTACGATAGCCTATTTAAAATGAATATATATATGAATAAAAGTTTTGTTTTATATATTTTGAACAAAAAACTAACCATTATTGATACCAAAATCATCCATTGTTTTTCTTGTACGATAATTTACTGGTTGTTGTGGTTCAGTCAATAATGGCATCGATGATGCGCCATATGGATTCATATGATGATAATTTAAATCTAGTCATTTGTTGATGGATGTATATAAGCCAAATGTAATAATTAACAAACAGTAAATAATATCATACAATACAGTTTATATTACCATCATGTTGACCATATCCGGTATTAGTTAATCGAGAATCATACATACGATTCTGTTGATGATGTCTTGATACTGATGAAGATAATGAATAATCAGGATAGGAACTATAATAATGACCAGCCTTATGATTACTATGTGAATTGGCATTAAGGCTGACCATTGATCAAAAAAAAAATTGCAAATGATTTACGATTGAAATGTTGAAATCATTAAGCAAAAAAAAAAAAAAATCAATTTAAAAAATAAACATACTCATCACTGTAATATTTTTCTTTAGATTCAAGTAATGAATAATTATTTAAACCAGTGTATTTATCATAACAGAAAGGCTGGTGATGATGATGATGATGAGAATGATCGGATGATTGTGAAATTAGATAGTTGAATGATGAATCAAGTGGATCATCTAATAATGAACGTTCATTATTGAGAAAATTATAATCATCAAATGAATAATGTCTATATAGACGATCAGAATCGGCTAAACGTTGACGACGTCGTTTGATTTCAGCACGAACTTTAGCTGTTTTTTCTTCAACACTAAGATCCTGATCAAAATCTTCATCATCTGATACGTCTGAAACATATGGAGATGGATGCCATGAACGTGAGGTATATGAATTTTTTAAATCACGATTATTAATACCATCATTGATTCCGTATAGATCACGATTCTGGCCATAACGATTCATATCGAATGGTAAATGGCTGGTAGTCGTAGCCAAATCATATTTGCGATATAATGAATTCAGTCGGTCATACTTAGAATGATGTTTAGACTGTCAAATAAAAATTGAATCAAATTAATAAATTGAATAATTGGGAAAAAAAATTCTTACCAATTGAGAAAATCGTAATGGCGATAGATCCTGTAATGTACGTTGATTTCCATGTAATAATGGATCTCTAAAGCTGGCGTTTGCTGTGTTAGCTGATGCAGAATTTTCATGAAACAAAATTGATGACATTGGACGTGTAAGACGATATTTATCATCACCATAACGAACAGGATTCAATGATTCATATTCATATGATTTAAAAATATTATTCTTTACACCAGCACCTGGATAATGGCTACGATTATATCGATTTGTCATATTCAAGGTATTACGCCAGTTGTTCATATTTCTTGACAGATGATAATTACGAATATATCCTGCCGTAGGACTATTATTATCCAATAAGCTATTGTCTAATAAACTTCGATAACTTTGATAATCAGAACCAATCGTATTGACACCAGTTAAATTATTAATTTTCGTTGAATTAGATTTTTTATTATTCAACAGAAAATTCGATGAATTAGCTAATTCTCCAGTTTTCAATTCTTCAAGAATTTTTTGTTGAATATTTTTGATTTCATTAGCAAAATTGGCCGATGTCATTATTTTACTACCATGATGATGATGATGTTCATATTTGGATGCATTATGTTCGGATGCAGATCTATATTGTTTATTAGTCACTTTGGCAATATCGGTATTTGTAGGACTTTTCAATAAATGATGACGTCCATATGTTGAGGCAAGAAAATGAGTTATATCCGAATTTGATGAATATGGTGATTGTGGTCTAGGTGGTGGTGCTATTGATTGACCACCACAACTACCGATCGAATCACCTAATAGGCCAATACCGAATGAACTATCTAATGATGATGATGATTTTAGTGGTGGTGCACTACGTGCCAATGGATTTCGTCCTATTATCATTGTTAGATTCATGCAAATAATATCAGTGAAACAATAGTACTTACCACTTAATTTTTCCTTAATAAGTTTTTTCGTGTTGATCATTGAGGATATTGGTTCTTCATCTTTTGGCACTTCTGGAAGTTTTCGTCGTTTATTTTTACCACTTGTACTCATTTCAAATGAAACATTTTTAGTATCCAAATCTAAATAGCCTAAAGTGTTGAATGCAGTCCGTTCATTAGCTGATGTAGACGCGGGTATTCCACATCCGATAGGTAAACCAAACAATTTTGATGCTTTATTAGCAACAAATGATTCTTTTTTCTGTGCCAATATGGAACTAACATTTGAAACGGATGTATTTTTGCTGGTGTTTACATTTGCTGCTGCTGTACTACTGATGGCCACATTGGTAGGACGATATGTAACCGATGATGATGTAATCCTAGTATTTGGATTAATTTTACGAGTAGTCATTTTAGGAGAACCAGAACGTTGCGATATGCTTGTTGTAGTAATCGATGATGATGGTCGACTTGTTTGGCCATATTGTTGTTGTTGCTGTTGATTTAGTATATCATCACCAGTTGGATGTGGCAAACGACGATGCAATGATGATGATGATGATGATTGTATTGATGAAGATGTAATTCTTTGTTGTTGTTGTTGTTGTTGATGATGATGATATCGAGATGTATCACGTTGATCAATTAATGATTGATCCATTGGACCTAATGCCCGAACATTTACAATGGCCGATGATTGTTGCTGAATCGTTACGTTTGATGATGGAGGTGGTGTTGAAATAGTCGAAACTTGTTTATCTTTTTTTGACAATAATGTTGTTTGTTTTGTAGCTATCGATGTTTGTCCACGATGATGATGATGATGATGATGATTATTATTATTATTGACCAATTGATCATCAGTATTAACGGCAATTTCACGATTTTTATCACTTAATTTTGTTACCATTTTATCATTATTATTATAATTATTTTTTTGACCTAGATTATTGGCATTAACATTATCATTGTTTGTTTTATGCTGTTGTTGTCGTTCCAATTGAGCCTTCTTTTCTTGTAATTGATTCTGTAATCGTTGTTGTTCTAGCTGAATTTGCAAAAATTGCTGCTGTTGTTGTATTAGGATTTGTTGCTGTTTCTGTAAATGTTGTTCGATCTGTGTATTTGTTGCCAATAATGTTTTCTGTTGTTTTAGTGATTCCAAGTCGGTAGATGTATTCAGAATATTTCCAGTTGTGTTTATTCCCGTTTTGCTTGTTGTCGTTGTCGTTGTCGTTGTTGTTGTTGTTGTTGTTGTTGTTGACACTGATGATGTACGGGTCAATGTTGAATCAATTTTTTTCATATCATCAGCATTGTTTGTCAAAGAAATGTTCGGTATAATACGATTCTGTTTTCCACTACCAATAATTGGATGATATTGATCATAATTCATTTCAGCTGTTCCGGTACTAGCTCTTCTTGTCAACATTGATTTATTATTATTATTATTACTGTTTGAGCTCTGATATGATGATGATGACAAGCTAAATTTGTTCAGTTGTTTATTCGTGCCACCATCGATTCTAGTTTGATTATTTTTATTATTACCACTACTACCAATACTGTTGTTGATGTCAATTCCGCTGCCGCTTTGATTCAAACTTAATGTTTCGATCGCTCGATTAAAGTCATCAATCATTCCGCTAATACTGGTCATATCATTTCTTAGATTGGTGGTTGTATTTCGAGCAGTTGTTTGAAACTGTTTATCATTAGATTATCATTATATATTAGTATTAGTATTATATTGGATCAATATCATGAAAAATTGAATATAAATGCTAATATATTAAAAAAAAATTATGACAAAATCACATACTGTATTACGACGTCTTTCAAGAATTTCCTGAGCTTCAGCAGCTTCGATCGATGGTGAAACATCTAAAATGGGAGATAATTCTGTAGAATGTTGCCATCCTCCTTGTTGTTGATCCAATGATGTTGCTGCCATTTGCTGTTGTTTTAATTGATGATTCTGTTGTTGATACTCTCTAGATTGTGTTGTCGATTGATTCAAACGATTCATCGTTATTCCATGATGTTGTTGTTGTGCGGATGATGAAATAAGAGAATGATGAAAATCTATTTGTCCACTATTATTATTATTATTATTATCGACAATTTTCGGCGGTTGTTGCTGTAATTGGCCAGCCATATTGTATAAGGGCATTGAACGATGCATTGTACTATTGATCATTGATGATGATGATGATGATGATAATGGCAGTGGTAGTTCCTGCTGCTGTGATTGATTATTAATCATTGATTTGGACATTGGACCAAACAATTCATTTTGCTGATTTATTTGTTGTTGGCCACCAGCATTTAATGATGATGACATGCCATATGTTACATTGCTACCGGTTCCAGTTGAATTCTGATTTATTTGTCCTATAGATGATTGTTGATATTGTTGTTTTTGTTGTGAAATTTGTCGATTTGAATTTTGTTGCATAAATGGATCAGTAGTTTGATTACTACAACCAGTCAAACTATTATTCATCGATTGCATCAAATTAGGCTGTTGTTGTTGTGATTGAAACATTGTTTTATTCATAAATCGACTGTCCATTTTCTGATCATGTTGGTGAGAAAATCCTGATTGTGATTGTATTGCTGGATTCATACCAGCCATCATTGACATTTGATTTGAATGTTGTTGTTGTTGTTGTTGTTGTTGTTGTGATAACAATGGATTCGCCATCGATATATCTTGTTGCAATAGATACATTGTAGATTGATCCATATCCATACGATTGAAATTATTCAACAATTGTTGTTGCTGTTGTTGTGTATCATCCATTTGTGTTCCCATTATCGACATATTTGATTGCGGTGGATGTTGTTGTTGTTGTTGTTGAGAATTCATTTTAAGACTCATATTAGCCATATTTTGTTGATCTTGTTGTTTTGATTGCTGTGATGTTATCATCATCGACATTGATGGATTGTTCATATCAAATGTTTGCTGTTGTGGCTGTTGTTGTTGTTGTTGTTGTTGTTGTTGTTGCTGCTGCTGATTACCTGCTTGAGTTCCCGGAACTTTGATTTTGTTTAGTTCATATTTTTATTATATATTGATATTGATTCAGCGTGTTTTTTTCATTCATTCACATGGATATTTTTTATGGAAATAAAATATATATATAAAATATAAATGGAGGAGATAGAGAATAAAAGGAAAATTGTATGGAAAAAAATGAACAATAAATTAGCGAACAAAATAATAATCAATAATAAAATGGATGTCGTTTACAAGAAAAAGAAAAAGAAAAAGATGAAGGTATCAAATGTGATCATACAACAATGATAGGAGCGAGAAAGAAAAAAATTTTTTTTCAGATTAATCAATCAAAAAATCAATGAAAAAGATTTTGATTCAGAACAAAAAAAAACATCACATCACAACATCACATCACATCACATCAACATTACATTTTACGTGTTTTTCAACAACATGCAACAAAACAAAAACATGCAACAAAAATGAAAATCAAGATGCATCATGTATTATATTTAGTTATATAATATTAGATTAGAGGTTAGCATTAAATTCCTAATATTCACACATTTGCATTTCACACACATATGTTTGTTTTGTTTTGTTTTTGCATGTTTCATTCACAACAACTAGGACTTGTTATTATTATAAGCTGTTTATCATATTTATTCTTATTCTACTGTTAGTCGAATGAATTGATTTGAATTGAGAATATGAAGAAAGAAAAAAATTTGCAATTTAGTTTCTAAAATGGGCACTTTTTCTCTCTCTCACACACACACACATACGAATTTATATTACAAATCACACGATAGTAAAAGAATTGAGAAAAATAATTCTGTATATATAAAGAATAATAAACAGACGCTCATTACTTCCACCCACCCACACACACACACACGCACACAAATAAAATATACAGACATTAATTCCAAACGGAAATGATTACAACATCATTAAAATTAAATAACATATATAATAAATAAGAAACAAACAAACAGATAAAAATTCAATTATCGAAATCTACACTATTGATATATAGTTATTATTATTGTTGTTGTTGTTGTGCTAGATATTATAATAATAATAAATTTCAGGTTGATATTTTAGGTTTTGTGAATAAAAACACACACACACACACACCCACGCCAAACACACACACACAACACAAAAAACACGTATGTAATAATGAAAAAAACATCAAAAGTCATTTAGGACAATAATCAAATTGGATTTATATATAATAAGTAAGATTTAGGAATTTTGAGAGAAAAAAAACCAAAAACCAAAAAAAAAAAATTCCAATTCTGGATGGTAAATGCCATTAGAAACGACAACAACAAGCAACAATCGGGAATGGATGAAAAATATATTGATAATGGATAAAACAGACACAGAGAGATATATTCAACGAGGATTTAATATGGTGAATTTTCATCATCAATTTCATCATCATCATGATCGAATGGAACAGATTGAAAAGGTGAATGGAGAAAGCAAAATAGCAAAATTTGACATATAGCGATATAGAGAGGACAGACAACAAATATATATAGAGAGAGAAAGAGCAAAAATTTTTGATTTTTTTTTGGAAGAGATTTAGAACATTATAACAGGAATGAGAATATTTGGAATATTTGGAAGCGGTTGTGAAAATGAATATTGGAGAGAGATATTTGGAGTTTAAGAATTGAACGAAGGCACATGTCCGGAACGATTGATTTGGGTTTCATTTCATTTCATTTTTGGTGGTAGCATTTGTCTTGTTTTTGTTATTAATTTTTTCCTCAAATGAATTCTTTCTTTTTTTTACAATTGCTGATTAACAGCATTCGTAAAAACAAATGGAATGTGATTGTGAAGTGCAAAAAATATTGATTGATTGATTGATTTTTTTTGTTGCTGAAAGATTTATTGTTGAATTACCTCGTTTTCGAAACATCATTGAATCATTCAATATTAAAAATGGCTCAGAATTGGAACGATTATTACGACCTTTGTATGGTAATGATGACGACGAAGTTTTCTGTTGTAAATCATTATTTATAATATTTGTTCGTTGATTTTGAAATCGATTTGTTATACCACCAACTAGACCACTCATTATACTTATACTTTGTCTTCTATCTTGTTGTTGATGAACACGTTGATTTGGACTTAATGTGGACAATGTTTTTGGACTACGTTGTTGTTGTTGTTGTTGCTGCTGTTGTTGTTCTTGCTGTTGTTGTTGAGATTGTGGCGATGATGGTGATGATGAATCATTGAATGGACTCAATCGATTATCAACATCATGTTGTGATTGTTGATCAAGTTGTTCTTCATCTTCTTCTGGTATTGTATAAACTTGATTATTCATCATACTACCACCACAATGATATTGTGAATATTGATGATGAAATGGTGATATTTTTTGATGATTTATACCTCTAGATAGAGAAGCTATTGTTGTTACATTACCTCCACTATTACGATTATTACTATTATTATTGAATTCTATACGATTACGGCCAGATAATGGCCGTTGATGAAATTTATTTCCAAACATATTCCCGAATGGTTGCTGTTGTTGTTGTTGTTGTTGGCTCATTATCATAACCATATTATAATCATCATCATCATCATCCTCTTCATCTTCATCGAATTCATCATCGTCGTCATCATACTCACCTTGTCTTTCATATTCTTCATCGATTTCAAAATTTAAATAACCATATTCATCAAGTTCATTTAAATTATTATTATTATTATTAGTATTATTGTTGCTGTCATTGTTATTATTATTATTAATATTGTTGTTATCGTTTGATGATTGACCAGATTCATATGCTAATTATTGTAATTGGATTGGACAGAAAAAAAAGAGACAGAGATAGAATATATAAAGAATATAATGGAATAATAAAAATTATTCGACAAGATAATTATGATTCTGACATTTTGTTTTTGGGAGAAAGAGAAAAAAAAAGATTTCGATTCTTGCATTCAAACACCGAAAAAAAGACATATATGAGCAAACTCACACACACAGAGACACACACATCAGCAGGTGCAAATATTTTCTCAAATAAAATTGTGTGAATAGAAAGCCATTTTTTATGGGTGAAACAAAATGAAAAAAAAATTTTTTCATGTGTAAAAGATTATCAAATGAATAATGAATGGTGTTATGTTTTTTTTCCTATTGTGCTGATTAGTAATGTATATACTATATATAATATTGTTAATTATCTCATGTTATATTATGGAATTTTATCTATTTTTTGTTTGTCTAATTCTCATCCAGAATTTCTTTTTCACAAAATTTTCATTATCGATCATGTGATATGATATGCACAGATAGTCAGACACAGAGACACAGAATCACAAATACAAATGTGTTTTTATACTGAAAAATTATTGACCATGGAAATAATGGAATTGCTACTGGATGTAATTGTAAATGATCAAAAGAAAAAATTTGTACAATCTAATTTGATTCAAATTAATTAGAACACACGATTGCACAGACTTACGTACGAACGTAAACGTAAACGCAAACACAAACGCACACGCACACACAAGCTGAAAAAAAGAATTTCAATGGAAAAAAAAAACATTTTTTTTTCTATATGCTCAACAAATCATTACACATATACAACGTAATTAATCAATTAATATAATATATTTATATTCTACATCTATGAAGTTGATTGCAAATTGTACTACGGTTTGTTCGTTTGTTTTTTTTCTCATTGCTAAATGGGAAAAAAAAGCCAGTGAAGAAAAGAAAAAAATTATTGAAAACGAAAACTAAAAAAAAAGCAATCAAAAGCGTAATTATATATAATTCTGATGATTACGAGAAAAAAAATGAAATGAAATGAAATGAAATAAAATGAAACGGAATAAAACTGCAACGATAATATATTCGGTTATATATAGCAATCGAAAAATGAAAAAAAAATTTCTTTGTTTTAATGCTTTGTAAATTCTATCTCACTATTAAGATGGACTAAAATTTCTACGAGAAAAAAAATTTTTTTTTTAAATTTAAACAACAAACTAGAACATGAACGAAAAAAAAATGAAATGAAAATGAAATTCGTCATTTACACTTACCATTTTGTTGAACCATCATTGTTAATTGTGTTGGTTGCTGTTGCTGCAGCTGCTGTAGCTGCTGTTGTGATAATGAATTCATCGTATCTGTCATCATACTACCAGTTCCGGTAGTAATTAATTGATGAACATGCTGCTGATGCATTGGTTTTGTTGTTGTTGCTGTTGTTGTTGTTGTTGTTGTTGTTGCTGAAATTTGTTGTGGTCCCATTGAAAAATTTTGTTGTTGTTGTGGACCTTGAATAGACCGATTGACAATCGGTTGACCATATACATCAATCATTTCGGAAGACTGATTTAGGCAATTTTGATTTGTTAATGATGATGTATTCTGTTGAATCATCGATTGTGGCTGCTGTTGTTGCTGCATAAGTGCTTGATTCTGATTCATTGATGATTGCTGATGAGACTGTTGTATGGTTCCATCTGGATTATATAATAAATTTGTTCTATTTGTTGGATCCATAAATTGTTGTTGTCCATGAATTCCTGTTTGTTGTAATTGTGTTTGTTGATTTGTTACATTTGTCGCCTGTTGATTTGTATAATTCATATTTGCATGTGTTTGTATGAATGGTTGTTGTTGTTGTTGTTGTTGTGCATTTGGTATAGATTGAATCGAAGTATTTGGCATCATTGTTGTTGTTGGTTGTTTTATTAAGGATGGCTGCCCAATCATTTGATTATTATTACCAGCCATATTCATCATTGTTGAGCTAGATTGTTGATTAATTGTACCATCATTTTGATTATTGTAAATATTTGGCTGCTTTTGTTGTTGTTGCTGTTGTTGTGGTCCTAAACCTGGCTGTTGTTGTTGTTGTTGATAATAACTATTATCTTGAGCCATAGATGATGGAATATTTTGTGAATTTAATTGTTGTTGAATAATTGCTTGTTGTTCGAATGAATTCATATTCGTTGTAGCTGTTGATGTTTGTGGCATAATTTGATTTGAATACGGTTGTATTTGTTGTTGTTGATTTAAATTTGATGAATTTAAATTCGATGTTGTTGATGATGATAATGTTGTTGATGATACTGATGGTGGAGGCACTAGACTAGGCGGTAACATTTGTCGTCTTTTATAACATTCAATACAACATCGTATCTATTTTCAAATGAAAAATTGAAAAAGTTTAAATTTAATTTATTTTTTTCATACAATTTAAATGAAGAAAATAAATAAATAAATAAATAAATAAATACCTGTCTATTTGAATCTTGTTGTCCACATTGTTGGCAAAACATTTTAAAACAATCACTACATTTGATCAATAAATTTTGTTCTATATCTCTATGGCATATTGAACAGGATGTAATCATCATCATTGTATTACTGTTTGGTTGTTGTTGTCCAGTGCCACCACTACCACCACCACCACCACCCATTTGTCTTTGTTGTTGTTGTTGTTCCTGATACGATCCAGTTGTTGCCATTGTAATCGATGATGTTGATGTTATTGGCATCGAATTTGTAGCCATCATGTTAAATTGTTGTTGAGAATTTGATTGTGGTTGTGGTTGTGGTTGTGGGTGTTGTTGTTGTTGCTGTGAACCAAATTGTTGTCCATTTCTTGATAATTGTTGTTGTTGTTTTTGCATTCTGTAATTGAAGAAAATTTTTTTTTTCATTAAAAATGAAAAATCAAATTTCTCATTTCAACAACAAGAACAACAAAAACAAAAATACAACAGATTTTTCCAAGACTAAATGTGACTAAAATTCAAATGTTTTCACATATATATGAATTTGAATCAAATTAATTTTTTTTTCTGCATGATAAATGAATGTCATATCATATAGACGACAGCAATTTGAAACAATTTTCTCTATCACTACGTTTCAAAACTTGTCAAATGGAAAAAAAAGACAAACTAATAAAGCCATGGAATAGACAAAAGAGAAAGGGCAACAACAAAAAAAAAATTCAACTTTGTGAAATTTATACGCAATGATAATAAAATGAAAAAAAAAATGAGACACAGACACACACGCAGACAAAAAAAACAATAACAAACAAACAAACGAGAAAAAAAAATCTCACATCATAAATAAATGAACAAACATTTAGAAACTAGATATTATCAAATTCTGAAAAACGTAACCCTAACAAACATGATAACAATAACAATGAGATCATTTTGCAGACAAATTTCTATTTAATTTAAATTTTATTTTGATGTTTTTTTTTTAGAAAAATTTTCATTTTTCATAATGTCCAATGTGTTTATTATGTTGAAATTTGTCTTTGATTCATATTGATCAGAATGGATTCTGATTAATTATTTTTCACAAGAATTTTCATTTCTCATTCAGCATTCATTATTTTATAATAATAATATATTATTTGGAAAAAAATATTTGACCACAACAATGATGATGTCATTGAGATCAATTTTATCTCATTTCATAATAATTTTTTAGTATATATATGTTCTATATGTTGAAAATAAAAATTATATCGATATCAATATAATATACTAAAATATATTCAGCTGAACCAACCAGGCAACCAAAAATTCATTTCTGTGTCAATCTATCTATTTGTCAGTGTATGTATATAATATAAAGCCCATTGCTCTCGATTCTTTAAACGTATGGTATATAAAACAAAAAACTAGGTCAGAATCAAGGATTCAGAGCACAGAATTTACAATCTAAAAGAAGTGAGATCAGACTAAAATGCTCACTATGTATGTACGTATGTGTGTGTGTGTGTGTTTGTGTGTTTTTGTTTGTGTATCAAGAGCATAAAACTTGCCGAAGCCGAATCAAACATTGGTAAAAAAAAAAAAAAAAAAAAAATATCGTAACATAGGACGAATCTAGTATATATGAACCAAGGACACACAATAACGGTGTGAGTGCAAGTTTCATTTTGGTTCCAAGACTATGACGATGATGATGATAATGTTGAAAGCATTCAATCAGCAAAAGCAAAAAAAATAAATAAATAAATAAATAAAATAACAGGAACAAACAGCCCTATTCATAGTGGGTATTTGCAATGAGATTAAAATAAAGAGTAATGGATAAAATGAAAATCCTTTTTTCGATGAATTTTATACAAATAATAATACCTTATTATTATTAACATTCAAAAACGAAATATCATCCATACATCCGCCCACACACACACACACACACACTAAAATTTCAAATGCAATCGTATTATCGATTTGTGTAGATTTGTGTACACATTACAAATACAAACAACAGTTAATTCGAACAATATTACATCCAACATTTTTTTTGATGTTTAAATTGGAAAATGCATGAATTTTTTTTTTTTTCGTTATATAATCAAATGAATAGAATAATGGAAAAAAATACTCATTTTTCATCAACTTTTTTTTTATTGTTCTTTCTTTTCTTCTCTTGTTTCTCCTTTACTTCCCCCATCCCCTCCCGCATACACACACAGTTATATACCCATAAACGAACTTTTTTTTTATTCTTGTTTGTGTAGATGATATTATCATTACTTTTTCATTGGTTTGTGGGCAGAAATTTTTTTTTTTTGTTTCTTTTACTTTCTATTTTTGAATCCTATACTGGCTTTAATTCATTCATACACAGACAGAGACAAGTGCTTTTTACATTTCACATACATAATACTTTTGTACTTATGACAATGACATCGAATTGAATGAGATTGTGATAAAATAGAAGAAGAAGAAGAAAAAAAAAGAAAAACATTGACAAAATTCGTGAACACCTGAGTCATTTTGCTAATTTATTTTCATTATTCCAATCAAGTACAAGTAAAGATAAAACACATAAAGATGTATAGAAATAAAGATAAAGAAATAGACATGTATCTAAAATAAATAGTGAATAGGATGATATTAGAATTTTTCAGCATCAACATAAAAAATCAATAGAATATAGACATTAATATATACGGTGACTAACCATAAAACATACACACACACACACACACACACAAAAGAAAGTGAAAAGACAATATAATTCATTTCAATCAAATAAAAGAGAGAAAAAAATTTGTGAATTTGAAAATTTGAAATGAAACAAAAAAAAATCGATATATATATAATGAAAAATGGAGGGCGTAGAAAATTTATAAATTTTTCAATTCACAATTTTTTTTCTCACTGATTTGAAACCCAAAATGATTGAGACGGGTTTTTTTTTTTTTTGGTTTGGTTTTGTTTTGAATTGACAATTCATTTTATTTCATTTCAATTTTTTTCTCTTTCCCTCTTTTTTTTTCTATCTTCGTCTTTCTCACAATCTCTAATAATAGAATTGTAAATGAGAAATAATATTGGATCATCATCGTCGTCATCGTCATCATCATAGGTATTGAAAACACACACACACACGAACGCACATAGACACAAACACAGAAAAAAATAAATAGAAAAAAGTTGGTCGAATTACATTAATGGAATTACAATACCCATTTTGTATTTGCAAACTTTTTTTTTTTTTTACTTGTATTCGTTGTTGTTTGTTTCACCACATCGGCACTCTGGTTGTTGTTGTTGAAGGCTCAAATAATTTTCATCAGAATTTCATCTCCCCTTATTTTATTATGTAATCATACAAAATGATGCAATAATGTATAGTGAAAGAATATAAAATGAAATTTGTTATCGTGTGTTGAAAAATATAAAAAAAAACAAAATAGATGAATAAATCAAAGTAATGAGATGAAATTGATGATTTTTTTTTTTTGCTCAACAAGACAAGACAATTGTATGTTGATTGCCTATTGTTGTTTTATACACTATATATTACAATGAATTTGAACAAACAGACATCATCATCATCATCACTATTGTTGGGCAAGAAATTCGAGAATTTGAAACAATTTTCTAGATTGTTGATAAAATTTATTCATTCAATTCATCAAATAAATATAAAATAGTGATACAATGATAATTTTAAATGTTACATTTGGATTCTTGTTTTTTTTATGCATACACACACGCATATATACTAGTCTCTCAAACCAAAATAATACTTATATATTTGCAAACAATTTATCAAGATGAACAAGAATCCAGATTTTGTTTTTTTTATGAAATGAAAAAAAACATGAAAATTGACGTCATCTTGGTCCAGAATTTCTAAAATTATAAATGGCTGATTTAGAAATAAAATAAATGTATAATGGTTTAAAGAATTGTTCGTTAATTTGTTTCCTATTTCAATAACAAAAAACAAAATTTTTTTGTTGTTATTTTTTTTGTTGTTCAAAGTAATTCTTAGAATTTGATTCGTACATTGACTCATGATACGTAAATGATCAAAATAGAATTTCAATGATTCAATATTTTATGATATACTTACTCATTAGAATATGGCATTATTGATGAAGTTTGTGGATGTGAATGATGATGTTGTTGTTGTTGATGCATTGCCGTTGATGTCGCTGCTGCTGATGATGATGATGACAATTGTTGTGTTGTGGTTGTTGTTGCTGTTGACGATATTTTTGATGATGATGCTGATACTGGAGCCTGTGGTGTATGTGGCATTGAACTTTGTGTATCCTGTTGAGCTCTAGCCATTACAGATTGTATCATTTGTTTTTCCTCTTCAGTCAAACCACTTAGATCAACTTCGGGCACTTGTGAAGGTATTGGAGATTTTGCTATTGTTGTATTAGCTGTCATATTTGTTGCTGTTGCTACATTAGATCCTAATGATGATGAGGTATTATTGGGCATAGAATTTGTCATCGTATTTGTTGTCGGTGGTCCTGGTCCAGTAGATCTAGGTCCAATACCGCCAATACCAGGAAATGATCCTGGATGAAATTGATTAATTAATTGATTCATTGGTTTAATACTATTTGGAAATGATGTTGATAATTGTCCAATTGAATTGAACATTGATCCAGTTTGATTGGCATTACCGGCAGCTTTTTGAGCCAGATTTGATGTCATTGATGATAAAACATTCATATTGCTCGATTGTTGTTGTTGTTGTTGTTGTTGGTGTTGCAAATGTTGAAAATTATCGTTTCCACCACCACCAATAGAATTTAAAAAGCTAGAATTCAATCTAGCTTGATTTTGTTGATATTGATGTTGTTGTGGATTATTCTGAAATTGACTTTCTTCATTTCCCATTATCTAATTAAACTAAACGCTTATAATAGAAACGTTTTTTGTGTGTGTGTTTTTTTTTACTAAAATCTAATAATTGAGAAATGAATAGAAAAAGGATTGCTATAGAATGAAGAATTTTCTATTTTCTGGGATAATTATGAGATGTTAACTGTGATAATGATGATGATGATGATGATAATGATGAAAATGAAGCTAGAACTTGGCAAATTTTTATTTGTAAATCAAAACAAACATAAACACAACAAAAAAAATGAATGAATGAACAAACGAAAAACAATTTGAGCTATAATAGATTTGATAGATTTCTTTATTTTTTTCACTTGATTTTCAACAAAATTTCTAATACTCAAAATAATCAGGAAAAATGATTTTCTTTTCTTCTTTTTTTTATTTTATTCTGTCGATTCTGAATCCAATTTCTGAATGACACACAAGACACATGGAAATATTCACACATTTAACAAAAAAAAACAAACTCACAAACAACACAAATAGAGAACTATATTAAACCACAAATTGTCCCATTAATTTACATATATTAAAAATTATAAATCACAAAAACGACGAAAAACGACGGAAATCATAATTATGGAACAATAAGGCATTTTAATGGGACATTTTCTCATATTTCGTTGTAATCAAAGACTATTAAAAAAAAAATTTCAAATTTAAATTTCAAGTTTGATTAAATAATAATGATTGAAGATGTTGTTGTTGTTGTTGCTGTTGAAGGGTCAAAGGTTGCACAGAATACAAAATTTTTTTTCCTCTCTAATCGTTGTTGTTGAATAATCACCAACACCATATATGGATATTAAAATTCATCATCATCATTTCTTCACAGTCAGATTAACGAAATGAATATATTTCTTTTTTTTGTTTTGTTTTTGTTTTGTTGCTTGTTTGAGGTTTCATTATTTCTTTTGTTTTTTGTTTTGTTTTTTTTTTCTTCTCATTCTCACAAATCATGGAATCAAGTTTATTCAAGTCATTCTCAATCCAACAAACACACTAACACATACACACACACACACTAACACATACAGTTATAATTCAACGAGAAATGAGATGAAAGTGAAAAATTCTTTTTGGAAAACCTGAAACACACATGCACACACATACACACAAACACACACAAAAACAAACATTACATAGATATTATCAGTTTCATCACTAAACTGTATCACAGAAACGCCATATACTAACAACATTCATAGTCAAAAAAACTTTTCGATAATGATGGTGTTTGTGCGTGTGTGTGTATATATGTTTTTTCTGATTGTATTATAGTGAGTGAAATGAAATGAAAAAAAATGGTCGAATCAAGAATTAGAAAAAAAGAAAGAAAAAGGACATATATCTAAAAACGTCGAAACTATTACACAAATAGTGAACAGCTTAGGCGCCAACTAAATAATGATGATCATGACCATCTCATCAGTACTACTACCACCAACACCATCACCAGCAGCAGCATCACCGTCACACTGATGATCATATCACATGGATTCTTGAATGAAAGTGGTCGGATTCCTATTTTTATTCCACTTCACCGTAACAATATCGTAGCGCAAATAGTTTTATTGGTACGTTGATGGTTGACAATTTTTATTCTATTATATTATTCTATTTATTCATTCTTTTCATCGTTGTCATTGTCGAATTTGATTCAAATTTTTGGCTAGGACATTATTTCATAACAACGAATTTCCATTTTTTTTTGTTCATTCACTCTCTCCTTTTGTTGATTCTATCTGAATTTTTTTTTTTTTTTGGGCCATAGTTTTTTTTTCAAACGGTGAACAGCTTTGGAGCAGCGGTATGTCGTCATAATGAAAATTTTTTTTTATTTTTGCTGGGTTTTTTTCCTATTCATCTATCCATCTATCTATATGAAACAGAATTAAGAATATTGTTCCATACGATATATGAGATTCGCATGCGTATCGCAATCAAATATTTGACGAAAAATGGTCTCTCGCTTTCAGTATCAACAACACTATACAATAGATAAGAAGAAGGAAGAAGAAGCAAGAAAGAAAAATAAAAAATAAAAATTTTTTTTTGTTCAAAAATCGACACACACACGCACAGAATTATCATATATATTCATTTTACTATATATAAAAAATAGAATCCATCGATCCATATTAATAATAATAATAATAATGGTAGTAGCGGCCATGATTGTTAGAATTTTTTTTCTGTTTTTTTTTCATTATTCTTCCTATTTTTTTTTATTATAGTGCGCAATTCCATTTATAATTCATTGTTGGCCACTGAATGTCGCCATAATCGTCTATTGTTGGTTATTATGATGATAATAATAATAATGTTTTAGTATACATTTGGATTCTATAGAGAAAAAAAAAATAAAACGGAGACATGACGTAATTTGGCAATTAGGTGGTGGTTCCGTCATTTCTAATTCCATAATAATAATAATGATGATGATTATATTCGCATGCGTACATACGGTTCCAATTGTGTGTGTGTGTGCGTATGAGAACAATTGAGAAAAAAACCAAATAATAATAATGATAATAATAATAATAAATGATCTCAACTATTAAGCAACATAAAGCCTCAATATCAGTGAATTTATCTGCCCATTTTCATCTTGCATTTTTACAATTTCTTTAGTTTCATTAGTTCCATTACTAAATAAGTAAAATAATGTAGAATGAAAGAAAATCTATTTTTTCTTTAACAAAATTTGATGAAAAAAAAATATATAGCAAAGTGAATAGAATAAAATGCCGGGCGCCCCTTATCTATTTCGAATCAATAACAACCAATGATAATGATGATGATGATGATGATGATGATGAAACGATCAAAAAAAAAATGTATAAAATGATTGAACATTGAATTGAATTGAGTATTGAATAGAGAATAAAGAATATGCGTGTACGCTTGAAGAATCAATGAAAAAAAAAAATTTTTTATGAATTTTTCGAAGAAAAAAAAATAGATAAAGTACCAATTGCAAATAGGCAACAAACACACACACTCCCATAAACAAATTCAAGGAAACGTGTATAGAAATAATAGAAAAAAAAAGAATTTTACTTCAGACAAACACACACACACACACATAGACAAAAACAAGGTTTCGGCAAGGAAACAACAAGGAAAAAAAATTCTACCGATTCTTCTGGCTTTACCAAATCATATATATACACAGCAAAAATATAATCGTATATATACCATTTATACTAAAAGAAAAAGAATAGAATATAGGCAATACGGTCCATAAGTATTTTTTCTTGTCCTTCAAGCATTCTGTTCATACTGATATATATGTGATTTCTACCATGGATTCATTTATATATAGCCGTTGAATTCATTTCTATCACATCCAATAAGAATATATATACGATGAACTTTGTACACTTTTTTTCTACTGAATATTTGTATTTGATTCTGAAATTCATTTTGAACAATTTTCAAGAATTTTTCAAAAAAAAAAAATTTTTTTTTTATCAATTCAAATTTTTAAATTACAATCAAATATTCATGAAAGCATAGACAGCCGGTATTGTATAATTTTTTTCATTTTCATTCCATTCCAATGATGATAAATTATGAGCAAAGAATTTTCATTTTTCATTTTTCGTTTTGTTTTTAAATTTTATTTTACCCTTTCATGAAGTTTATACAAATCAACAGAATAAATAAGCGAATATATTTTATTTATTTATTTTTTTTCGGTGTAAAAAAAAGAGAGAAAGGGAGATGGAATTTACTGAATTTATAGAGAGAATAGTATAAAATAGTATCACTTCTATTCATCTGGATTCTTTGTTTCATATTCTTTGTTTTGTTTTGTTTTATTTTATTCGTTTCAAGTATGAAATAAATTGTGTCTCTCTCTCTCTCTCTTTCTGTCTGTCTGTCTGACTGTCTGTATGTCTGTCTAGTTATTCTATTCATGCAAGTTATTGAAAAAATGGAACAAAATGGATGAGTGGAGACCAAAGAATGAAAAAAAAGAAAAAAATTGAAATGAACCGGAATTTTCGTTTTTCATTTTCAATAATCTTTTTTGAGTGTGTGTGTGTGTGAATGATGTATGATGACAGGATTATTTATTTATTTTTTTTGGTGGAGGATGTGGTTTAGATTTTAAGTAGATCGGTGAGAAAATCAACAAAATTTTCAGTTTTTTTTTACCATTCCATTCTCTACCATAGTGAGACAATCTGAAATGAAATTATTTACACTGCCGCCGATATTATTTGATAATGTGTGTATGAGTTGATTTTTGAGAAAAAAAAAATTCAATATTATGGTGTGGTGGAGGTGGTGGTCCTTTTTTTCTCTATTTTCTTCTTTGGTTGGACACATTGAAATAAAGAGAGAATAATTTTGCTATATGAAATGTTTTTTTATATATGTGTACATTTAGGATTGGTAAAATGAATTGTCATTTTTTTCAGGCAAATGGTGGTTTAGGTCATGATGATATCATTTGTAATTACACAAATATGATGATGATGATCTACAAATTCCATTTCAACCATTAACGCCACACACACACGCGAACAATTGTTTCATTAATGGTCTATTCGTTTTTTCTTTTGTATAATGTTAATTATATATCGGAATGACATTCCGAAAACGAAAAAAAAACTAAACTAAACTAAAAAAAAATAAATAGAATGAAACAAAGAATAACAGAATGAATAGAATGGTCATCTGTCACTTTGTTTCATTTCATTTTTTTTTCTCTCGTTTTGTTGATTGTCTGATTTTGCTTATCATTGAATGCAATACAATATGATGAAACAAGAACAAAACAAAATCCAAAAAAAAGAGATAAAGGGGGAGTAAAGAGAAAAAGAACAACCAATATTTGTGTATACATTTCTTGTGGTCATCATTATCATCTTTGATCTGGATAAAGACCGAAAATAATGGAAAAAAAACCAGTGAAAAAAAACTCATATCCTCAATAATGGAGACCAATATTCTCATCATTGTACAAGATTCATTACAACGAAAGAAAGAAAGAAAGAGAGAGAGAGAGAGAGAGAGAGAGAGAAACTTGAAATGAACAGAATA